TAGAAGACAAACATTACCATATTTTTACCTGGGTGGGTCTAGTTTGTGACTATTCACTCTCTCTCATTGATATGGAAACTCCTGATTACTTGAACATGATTTTGCCTTTGGAGCAGGTGCGGAAGTTGCCTTCAAACACTGTGTCACCCAGATCAACTTGAGAAATGATAAGTGGGAAGTCTCCAGGGAAACAGGTTCCCCTGAGCTGTTTGACCTTGTTGTCCTCACTATGCCAGTGCCTCAGATTCTGCAGCTTCAAGGGGACATCAAGAACTGTAAGTCTGTCTTCATTTGTTTCCCTTAGGAATAGGATTTCTGTGATAGAGTATGAATTCAACTCTCTTTGCGAAAGAAATATTATGGATTCTCTGGAGGATTTGCATATATTTATATTCCTTTGTGGTGCTATAGAATAAGCACTGGACTGCTAACCACCACAAGGTTGGTGTTTCAGACTCACCAGTGGTGCCTCAAAAACCCCCATGCTGGACAACAGAACAAAACACTGACCAGTCCCGGCCATCTTCACAATTCTGTGTGAGCCTGTTGAAGACTCCTTAAGGGTCTTCTTTTCACTGACCCTATACTTTACCTCAAAAATGTCGGTAATCTTGTTGGATATGCAATTATAAAAAGGAACAACAGTCTTTTTGTGGTTGTCTTAGAGCTAAGAAGAATTTTTACAATATTGATTGCTGCCCTGGTTGCTAATTTTTCTGTATATTTGCTCTCCTGGTTGCTCTCTAGATTTATTTCTGTTTGAGGCAATTGTCAATCTCTTTTGTGAAAACCAGACTTAACAGAGGTGGGTAGAACTGACAGGGTGAACAAATCATGCTGAGGAAGTTACAGTTATGATATTTATTGTTGTGACGTACCATCGAGTCTGTTCCAATTCAGAGTGACCCTGTATATGGTTTCTGAAGCTGTAAATGTTTGTGGGAACCGAAAGATTTATCCTTCTCCTGGGGAGTGGCTAATGGGCTCAAATAGCCAACCTTGTGGTTCACAGTTCAGTGCTTATTGTACAGATCTGCCACACTCACCACAATTTTGCTATATAAAACAAAATTATGGTTAAAATATTAAAACTCAAAGTTTTCTGTCTGAATAAAGACAAAACAAAAGTAAAAATGAAAGTCATTTTCTTGCTAAGAGCAACAAAGTTACATTTTTAAGAGGTTATTGATACAGCCTGTTGAATAGAGAATGTCATTTCTTAGTTATCAAATCAGATCTTACTATGACTGAATCAATTTTTATATGAAGGCCATTGTAGATATTTTTTTAAAATTAAACATTGTTTGTTTGTATACATGGTTCTTGTTTCCTAGGGAACATTGATTTATGTTTGCAATTTCATTGGATTTAGGCCTAGTCAGGACATGTGCAAAGTTGCCACCAAATTAAGCTGGGTTATTTAAAATGAAAGGAAAAGAAAAATAGGATAAAATGTCCTTATCAGTAAGTTTATAAGTCTCATTTTGCTGTATGCGTCCCAAAAGATGAATCTAAATTCCATCTAACTATAAAAGAACCTTCTAACTATAAAAGAATTCTTCTTTTTCATTTTATAAGATGTTGTTTAATGATTCAATCCTTTAAGCTTGTTCATTTGCAGCAGGTGAAATTA